TAATAGCCCATGTATGCAGGCACATATTCAATCTCTAGCCCCTAAAAAGTCCCCGGGGACTATATTCTTTGGACAGCAAGGAAAAGAGATGATGGGTTGGAAAAAGAAACAGTAATATACATAAGCCCATTAAAAAGTGTGTGGGAAACCTCTGAGAAAATGTCAGTGTGAGGCAGAAAGACATGAACCCCAAATAACTTTCATATGTATTTTTTACAAAATAGATTTTTCATCATGTCACAAAATTATTCAAAAGCATGTAGGCGGCAATAACAATATTTCATTGATGTCTTCTATTTTATAATAGTTGGTTCCAAAATTGTCTAGAAAAGTTTTACATCTTTTCTAAATCTGCATTCGGTAATGTTGTTGCTGTGGTGGTCCCTTGCATACCTGTCCCGATGGCATTTCAACTACGTGTAGACTTGGAAAATTTATATGACACATTCCATGAACAGACTGCTGGAGGAAAATCAGTTACTCCATCATTTTGAGGAAACCGTTCCATCTAAACTTTCCTTTCTTGAGTCAACTTGTGCATTGGTTCTTTTTTTTAAAAAATATTTATTTATTTATTTATACAAGAACTGGGGTATAGACCAGAGGTGCTGGAGGGTGCGAGAATTCACCAGAGACGTAGCGGGAAGCAGAACAGGCAGATGGACCGAAGACACTACTGAAGGGAACAGTGGGAGAAACAAGAGAGGTCTGCTGCACCACGTGGGTTTCTCCCTGGCTGGCTGAGAATCGAACCTGTGCTGCAGAGGCTGCGGACAGCTTCACAGTGCTGCACTCAACCCGCTGAGCCACCGGGGAGGCCCCACATTGGGTCTTTATACTTGGTCTTGTCAAAGTTTTTCACTACAGATTTTTTTTTTTAAGATTTATTTATTTATGCATACAAGAGCTGGGTACAGTCCAGAGATGCAGGGGGTGAGAGGATTCACCAGAGACAGAGTGGGGAACAGAACAGGCAGACTGACTGAAATACACTGCTGAGGGGAGCAGCAGGGAGACAGGAGAGGTCTGCTGCGCCCTGTGGGTTGCTGTCTGGCCGTCCAGGGATCAAACTCGTATTGCAGGGACTGTGGATTGCTTCATAGTGCGGTGCTTAACCCCTTGAGCCACCAGGAAGGCCCTACGGATTTTTTTTTTTTAGTAGATTTAGCTCAGTAGAACATTCAAGAAGAAGTCCTTCCTGGTTTGAGACTGTCCTGCAGTTGGTAGCACCTTCCATGAAGTGACCTCAGCGACCTCGAGCTGCCTGACACCTAACAGGGCACACGGCCATCTGAGCAGGAGAGGCCTCTGTCATGGGAGGCAAAAAACAAGGCTCATCCTGGCCTCAGAGGCACTTCCGGACAAACACACAGGAAGCCCAAAAGGCTGATCTGCCGATGGAGCTCCAAATCTATAAGTGGGAGTTAAAAATGAGGGGGGTGGGCGCTCCTTTTTATGTTGCTGAGTGGCAGCTTTCTGGCCCAAAACAATCACACTGTGGACTTGTGGAATTTGCTATTGTTCTCCTTTGAGTCATTCCTTTTTATTTTTTGGTGAAGCTGCCATAGACTGAAGGACTCACCCAGGGTCCACTGTCACATTCTTCCTTTTAGAAAAGAAAAAAAAAAATGTGGCCTTGCGTGAAGAATTTGTCCTCAAGCATCTGGAGGCCAGCAAGGACTCAGCATCCTCTTCTGAATGAAGAGTCAGAGGTGCCCCCCTCTGCAGGTCCAGGGCAGGGCATGCTGGTGTCCAGGGTCTGGGCACCATCAGGGTCAAGTTCATATGTGCACCACCATGTCCATGCCAGAGGTGCTCCAGCTGCCAGAAGAGTCTCTTCTGGAAAAGTGAGGGGTGAAGAGGGCACTCCTGTGGATGGGGGACAAAAAAGTAGGAGGAAGTCCAAGGAGAGCTGGGGCAGTGAGAGTTTGAATCGATGTCGCCTGCCTATGGGGGTGTCCCATTCATTTTCTCTCACCAGATTTCTGCAACAACTCTTCATTTATCTCCCCAGTGTTGGCTGCAAGATTCAGAATACTTGGGAGTTGGGATTTGCCAACAAGAGTTCAGGCCTGGATAATGACATACAGATTGTTTTTTTCCATCTTTGGGATTTGGAACAGCCTCAAGAGTTGCAAAAACCTTGCCTTGTTGCAGGAATATTTCTGAAGGCCTGCACTGTCTGATCTCTGGCTCCATGCTGCTGGGAACAGCAGCACAGCCGTGAGGGGTGGCAGAGACCACCTGGGATATGGAAATTACCAGAAGCCTTCCTTTGCTCCTGCCAGAGCACCTGAAGCATACTGGGAATCTGGATCTCGGTTGTTCCTCTCAGACGGCCCCCAAGGGGCAATAGGTAGCAAACGTAGCCCACATTTTGCCAGAAAAGCCCAAATGGATGATCGCTGCTGTTGTCAATTATTGGCATTTCAACAGGACTGTATTTTTATTTCTCAGTGTCTTTGCACAGCTAGGAAGCATCTGCTGACAAGGATGAGATGATAAGCTGTATTGGTGCCAAAACAGGACTGGAAAACAGTCTTGTTCTGAGAAAGGCCTGCATCCCGAGAGTCGGTGTTAAGAAAATGCTTCTCCACAGGCAGCAGCTGGTTAAAACATGCACGTTGAAAAGACAAAGTGAGACTTGCAGTGCCTGTGAGGTGACCCATGCGTGCACACCGTAGGTTAGCCTGCACCAGCACTGGTGTGGCCAGGGAGGGGGGTAGTGGGGAGCCTGAGAGAAAATGTCCCACCCCAGCGGCAGCTCAGAGCCCCAGTCTGGTCTCGGCATGTCTGAGATTCAAGCGCCTCGGTCTCTAAACTTGGGCACACCGCGTCACCTTCCCAGGCAGAGACTTCGAAGCTGTTTGTGCCTCGAGTCTGTGGTTTCTTTGAACAAGAACAGCCTTTTGGTGAATAAATTTGTCATCCTGGGTGGTAACAAAAAAGGAAATCGGTGGAAAATGCATCATCCAAGTTGGATTTACTCAGCTCTGTGGCCTGGGCAGCTTCCCAGGAAAGTCTGCCAGAGCAGGGCCTCCAGAGACCCAAAGCTGGCGTGTGTGTGATGACACAGACGTGAAAAGAGGCAGCGCCATTCGGCTCCACAGACACTGCCCTGACCCCAGGCACCGCGCACACCTTCCCCGCCACCTGTTCCTCCGGGCCCACCCCAAGGCACTACTCCTTTCAGCCCACAGGGAACCTAAAATGAAGTGATCCAGCAATTTCTTCTCCCACCGCCCGTCCTGTGCTGACTCAGTCTGGGCTCTGTTTGCTTTGGAGCAGAGTGCCTCTGAGTACCAAAACTACCATGTTCTCTTCAGCGGTTTGCAGTTCAAGCTCTGACGTTTCTGATGTTGGCGTTGGTTTTAAACTTTAGCCACTTTCCATTCTGGGCCATGACAACTGTTCACTATGAATTCTGCTGTGTGGATGCCTTCCCTCCTCCCAGGCTGCCCGCCGCTGATTCGTCAGCACCTACCAGTGCACACCTGCGGACTGATAAACTTGGGAGCCTTTAGCTTAAAGGTATCAGTGAGGACAATTGGGGAAGGAGGTGGGGGACAAGAAATATATTTATGGGAGGCCCAGTAGGCTGGATAGAGATAAGAGCAAAAACATGTTGCTAAACATGCATCCGCTGGAGAAAAATCCCACCTGGTCTGCTCCCTGTAAGAGGGTGTGATTAGGTAGGATGGAGCTTTTTTCTGGAGTGTTTATTTATAGACCATGCATCCAAGTGGTCCCAAGATAAGACATTTCCCTCTCTCCCTCCTCTTGCACTCAGGCCTTCTCGCCTCTTCATCGCTCACCTACCTCCGGTCCTGTAGCACACAACTTAGCTGAATGGCTGGGATTATTCAGTTGCAAGTAACAGAAACCCAACTCACACCACCTTAAGCAAAAAGAGAATGTATGGACTCATGTGCTAGAAAGCATAGTGCAGAAGCTCAAGGTGAAATGGAAAAAGGAAAACATGGAAGCAGGCCTTTGGGGCTCAAGCCAACACCTTCCAGCTCCTATACACGAGCACCTCTGCTTGGTGTGGCCTAGCGGCTCCATTCTGCGGACAAGAGCCCCATGTGATAACTGGGCATGGAACCCTGTTGCAGATAACATGAGTCCCGCATTCTCAACCTCTCACCCTCCCCACCTAGCAACCTAGAAGAAAGAATTTCTGTCTCCTATTTTCCATACACCATCCCCACAAAAGCTCTGGGCTAATATTCCAGGAGAATAGAGTGGCCCTATTGTCTAGTTTGGGTTTGAGTCTCCCTGTGGCCTGAGAGTAGACTCTATTAGCAGAAGAAAGGCAAGAGGGGAAAAACCTGCCTGGCTTTGGAAAAAATGGCAGTTCTGTAAACCTTTCAGTTGAGGATGAAAAGTACAAAGACCCCCAAACCTGATCTGAAATGTAACAGCAAATTAAATCCTACCTGGAGAAATTACTTGTCAGTCACTTAGCAGATCATTTTCTCTCTCTCTGTGCACCTGGCCCAGAGTGTCCTGCTTCCCTAGTCTCCATTGTAGCACACAGTTGTGGAGTGAAGGTGTGGGGCTCCCTCCTCAGCCCCGCTTTGTCCTGCGGAGTGATCTGAACAGCTTAATGCATCTCCCTACCCTTTGGGTTTTCCTGTGAAAAGGAACAATAATGCCTCTCTCGTGGGTTGGTTGTCCCGTTAATGGGGTAGTTTGGTATCAGACCTGTTGCCGTAGGGTTGCATGGGGTCACCATTTCAGCCCCCAAGGTGGGCAGTGTCTTCCCTGAGAATCTTAATGACAAGTTCTGGAAGTTGGCCTCCAGGCAGAGGCCTCGTGAGTGTCACAGACGTGTATATTCATGGGGAACTTTGCAGAGTTGCCTGGACCAAGTAGGTCCCCGGCTTTCTCATTGCTGTTCAGGAAGCGAGGGCATGCACTGGCTCAGTCTGCCACTCAGACCCCAGCCTCCAAGACCTCATCCTCGCTGAGACTCTCTCTCCTCTGCACATTTTCAGGAGTGTATACGTTTCTGTCCAGCACCCTGAAGTCTCTGGAAGAGAAGGACCATATCCACCGTGTCTTGGATAAGATCACGGACACTCTGATCCACCTGATGGCCAAAGCGGGTCTCACTCAGCAGCAGCAGCACCGGCGCCTGGCCCAGCTCCTCCTCATCCTCTCCCACATCCGGCACATGAGGTGAGGCACCATCTGGCCCCGGGAGACCCGTAATGCCAGCAGCCCCCAGACAGGTTACAGCTGGCCCAGGAAGGCCCAATGCCTGGGTACAGAAAACGCCCTCTGAACAGACCAGCCACGTGATAAGCAGAAATGCTGTGGGGAGACAGTGCGGTGTGGGGTGTGGAGAGTGTCAGACTTGCTGGGGCTTGGGGCGAGGGCAGGGTGGGATCCCTAGAGGAAGTGATACTTATGCTCAGATTGGAGCCTGTGTGAGGTCTTAGCGGGAGGAGTGTGTGGTGCATGTTGCGGGGTGAGGGCAACGTTTGGTCATTCACTCAGTCCCGTCCAATCCGGGGGAGGCCGTGAGCACCCATCTTCTGGAGGCACTGGGCACCTCCGTTCTCCTCCCTGTGTCATATGCTCCCCATTTACGCTTGGAAATGCTAAATGAAAGACTCTCGATCCAGACGCCTGATGGAGTCACTGTGGGCTTCTCCATCCTTCCCAAATCCCGTCTTGTCACTCCCTGATCTAATTACCATTACTCTAAGCCGGGTCACCATCAGTCTGGATTTCTGCAGCAGCCACCTAACATGTGTCCCTGCCTTCGGTCTTGACCCTGTCAAGTCCATTATCCATGAGATAGGCAGAGCCATCATGCCAACACCAAATCTGGTCATAGTGTTCCTCCTACATAAAACCTGGAAATCATTTCCTTTGCTTTTAGATACAAGGGTAAACCCCTTCATTTTGCTTATGTGACTTCTTAGGACCGAATCCCAACTTAGCTTTCTAGGATTTCCTCAGAGTCTGAGCTCCAGTTATAACCAACTGTTTTGTGAGTCACGGGGTGGGTCTCTTTGGGCTGCAGATTGGCTGGGCAGGGCTCTTGGCAGGGCTCACTCTTGCGAGTGGGTCACTCATGCAAGCTCGTCAAGACTGGAAGCCTGTGCTCAAAACCACAGGTCTAGAGGTTGGCCAGGTGACTCTGCCTCAGTCACTCCAGGTGACACTTGCCTTCCCTGTCCCCACAGATTGTCTGGGACATGTGCTCATACATGTGGCAGAGGCACGAGAAAGTAAACTTATTTGGGCAAATACATTTTAACCTTTTAGTTAAGTCATGTCCACTAACATTCCATTGAGCTAAGAAATCACATGATAAAATCAAAGTCCAGGGCAATGGATGCATGGCCCAGAAGTGAATATTTCTAAACAGTGGGCTAGTCTGGGCATAACTTGGGTAACACTCCTTACAGGAAGCATGTCCTGACCATTAACACCTTGTTTGGACTTACATCCTGATCTTGCTGATTGTTACTACCCATTTCATAACCTTTCTGCTCCCAGACTATAAACTCTGGTGCAACTGGTCTTGCTAACTCTGTGTGCCCACTGCCACCAGCACAGGACTTGGGACACAGTAACTATTCAGTATTATAGGAGCTAAGGAAGGACGTAAGTAGAAGAGGGCAGGTGAATGTGAAAGTGGCCTGACTTCTGTTCTACATGGTTCTAAATGGCCGTGTGGCATGACTGGCCAGAGGCTTAGTGGTGCCATTGCCATAACAGGACTCAACCTGCATGGAAGAGGTGGAGAAAGTGGCGGATTCTTTTTTTTTTAAAAGTTTATTTATTTATACAAGAACCGGGGTATAGGCCAGATGCGTGGGAGGGTGAGAGGATTCATCAGAGACAGAGCAGGGAGCAGAACAGGCAGATCAACCGAAATACACTGCTGAAGGGAGCAGCAGGCGCGACAGGAGAGGTCTGCCGTGCCATGTGGGTATCTCCGCTGCGGGTGGGGATCAAACCGGCACTGCAGAGGCTGTGGACAGCTTCACAGCGCCATGCTCAACCACCTGTGCCACCAGGGAGGCCCAAAAGTGGTGGATTCTTTACTATAAGAAGCTCACAACAGTGAGAGACAGCAGTGACACTTGAATGGAAGGGACCCAGGCAATGCTGAAGTCTCTAGGGCCTTCACTTCACTCAGAATCTAAGAAAGAAAGAGTCCCTTTCGTACTGGCTGTCGGGAAGGGCATCCGAAATGAGTTAGATTAATTTTCAAGAGAACTTTAAACCTGGAGACTCTATGTCAATGGCATGAAGTTTATTCCATGGTAGCCCCAGGTACCATCTTTTCTACAGACAACCTTGCGACTTGTTTGCATCTTAAGAAGATAATCAGATTTGTCTTTGTATCCCCTGCAGTGCCAGATATGAAGTCTGGTGTGTTGGGGAGGTTCACAATATTATTACTGAGTGAGCGAGTCAGTGAGCAAATCCCTACCCAGTGAAGGGCTCACCAGGTAGAGTAGGGGATTGCATTCGGAGTCCACATTTCCAGTATTTTCCCATCTGTTTCTTTTGCTGAATATTGCAAAGAAACAGGGAATGGGTCATCTTGTATCCATTTTTCTGAATGAGAGTGTAACCTTTCCCTTGAAGGAAACGCATTAGCTGTTACTGTGAGCTAGGAATTTCCATGGCGTGGTGGAAGCCATGTACTGCTGAGGAAAGTTTCTATGTGTTGGTAAGAATTGCTAATTTTCAAATCCATTAGCTGCTCATCAGCATTAGCAAGCTAATTAGTTAATACCACATGTATTTGCACCGAACATACAGGCTTTGCTAGTTTTCTGGCAACACATGGTTGAGGGCAACAGCAGGGAGCCTTGTAGAGTTTCTGTTGTAATTGTATGAAAAGCTGAAGAAAGGTTGCTTCTCTCTCTCTCTCTCTCTCTCTCTCTCTCACACACACACACACACACACACACACACAAATATTTTGGTGCCTCATTACAGCCTATATAAATCACAGAACTGTTTTATTAAGTTTGGCCCCAGCCATATGCTGTTACTCAGAGAATTTAGCATTAGTCCTCAGCTGACTGTATACGTGCACCATTAGGTTGCATGAGGAAGACAGTGTCAGAACTGGGGACAGGGGCCTTTTAACTTCAACAACATTTTAAATTAACAAATGCAATAAACCAAAATGTCACCTGAAGGCGGTTGTGTGGTAGTGTGTGGTAGGCCCAACCAGCTCCGATGTCCTTTCTTACTGGCATGTCTCCAACTGGTGCTGACTTCCACCCGACTGCAAATACCAGTATTTTCTAGGAAATTCTCTTGGCCTTGTCTCCTCATGATACCGAATTTTTTAAAGGATATTTCAAGCTAAAGGGTGGAGTTCTTCCCCCCGCCCAGTGGTGCAGTGGGGAGAGAGCAGAGCTTGGCTGGCGGAGGGGTCCAGGTAGGAGAGCAGTCCAAGGAGAAATCCCTCATTTCCTGAAGCCCATCTGTCCCATCTTTTCTGAGCGTTTAACATGTTCTTGGTACTGGTCGAAGTCTACAGAATGGACAAATCTTTGCCCCTCATGCAACTTGCACTGAGTGTGCTGGTGTGATATGTGTGTCTGTGTCCATGTGTGAGTGTACACTTGAGAGGATGAGAATAAACATACATGCATACAGATGTACATAGAAGAATAAACATAGATAATGCATTTGCAGGAGAGTAATACGATGAGAAGACTAAATATACATACACAAACAGAAGCATAAACATAACATACACATAGAGTAATGTACACATATATTGTGCATGTATGCATAAACACTCATGCACACATATAGAAAACACATACACATGTAGAATAAATATATATACATCCATGCATAGAAGAAACATACACAGATGCATGCATGACTGAAGAATAAACATACATACATAGAAGAAGCACACATACAGGCTTAGGATAATAAACCTACAAAGAATAAACATACACATATACATAAATAGAATAAACATACATGCATACACCATGCATACATACATGTATGTGTGCAGACAAGCATTGAAGAATAAACATGCATGCACATGTGCACACATGAAGGGTAAATGTGCGTGCATGCAAGAAGTTCTGGGTGGGAAACAGAGTCACGTGAAAAAGGACAATGGATGAAGATGCAGGGGCTGGAGGCAATGCCGCCAAGAGGTCGCCTTTCAGAGGAGGTTGCCTTTGAAGATCAGGTGGAAGCACAGCCAGGCAGAGAAAATAGCCAGTGCAGAGATTCTGGGTGTGGAAGTGAAGAACTTAGGGCTTTCAGGGAACAGAACAAACACCAGTGTGGTGAAATATGGTGGGCGACGGGGGGTGTCCAGGGAGAGAGGTGCGTCCTGCTCTGAGAGGGAAACCACCTCACTAAAATCTTGGAAAGAAATTCATGGGAAGAAATTCAGACTTCATTCTGTGTTACATGGGAAGCAACACCAAAGTTTTAAACAAGGAAAGTTCTTGAACTGTTTTACACATTAAAAAACAAATATAAAGCTGTGTGGAGGTTCCCCAAGCTATTAAAAATGGAGCTTCCATATGACCCAGCAATTCCACTCCTAGGAATCTACCCAAAAGACACAAAAATATTAATTCAAAAGGAAACCTGCACCCCTATGTTTATTGCAGTGCTACTTACAATAGATAAGATGTGGGAACAACCCAAATGCCCAAAAATACATGACTGGATCCAGAAGGTGTGGCATCTATACACAATGGAATATTACTCAGCAATCAAAAAGATAAACTCATGCCATTTGCAGCAACACAGATGGAGCTGGAAGGGATTAGGCTCAGTGAAATAAGCCAGAAGAAAATGGAAAAATAACAGATGGTTGCATTTATGGGAGGAACGTAGGGGAAGCAAATAAGGGACCAGTGAAAAAATAATTATAATAAATTTAAAAAAAATGAGCAGGCAACTATTAATCAGAGGCACTCTGCAGGGGAGGGCGAGGGAGAAGTATCAAAACAGGGGAGGGAATATCTTCTTGCACGAGGGACTATGGTGAAGGCACACGGGCGAATTGGTGGTGGGAATTTTACGTGAAGGACACCTGAGAGGAGATAGCATGCAATGTACGAAAAGAAGAATGATGTAAATTATATATAAAATTAAATTAAGAAACAAAACAAACAAAAACCGTTCAAAGTGCCCTCCTGGCCTTAGAGCTGGCCTTAGAGCTGGCCTTAGAGCTCCTCTATTCTCTTTTTAGATGTGATGGTGATGGGGAAGGAAATCCCCTGATAGAAAACCCTAAAAGGGTTCCTTAAGCAGGAAGGAAGCTCACCTTTCAGTAACACAGTCACTCTGGTGTTTTCCTACCTGCCCCTTCCCCGAGGAGTGGACAGTTCTGGGCTTGGGGGTGGCCTCAAGGGGTTCTGTTTGTCTTCCCACCCACAGTAACAAGGGCATGGAGCACCTGTACAGCATGAAGTGCAAGAACGTGGTGCCGCTGTACGACTTGCTGCTGGAGATGCTGGACGCGCACCGCCTGCACGCCCCGGGCCGCCACGGGGGCACGTCCATGGAGGAGATGGGCCAGGGACAGCTGTCCACCGCCGGCTCGACGTCCTCAAGTTCCTTGCAAACATATTATATCGCCGGGGAGCCAGAGAATTTCCCCACCACAATCTGAAGCTCCCCCGCTCCCCCAAGGTTCTGAGAATCCCTGCAGCATTTTACCGACGTCATGCACCACGGTAGCAAATTCCACCCTGCACACACTCCAGCATGCACCCACCGCCACGGCTGCGTGGCTGTTCATTTGCTAGCTCAGTTCTTAGTGGCACGCCTTCTGGGGACAGCCAAGGGATTCCAGGGCTAAACTCTTTGTAACAGTTCTCTTTCTCCCTTTGCCACTTGCTAAGCATGAGGATTCCCGTAACTTCTCATAGCTGCACTCCCGAGTCTACCAGCAAGGGCTCAGCTGACTCTGCTTTTAAGCTACCTGTTGAGGCCCAGGTCTGGAGATCAGACATTTCATCTTGGTGAAGCACTTTTTAATGAATCTAAAAAGAAGCCACAGGAAGGAATGGAAATGGGCTCTTTCAGTTGCTGGCTTGGAGAAAGCTAGGTCCAGGGATCCTGATACACCCTCTTGCATTCCTACAGTAATTTATCATTTCGTTTAAATAATACCTTAAAACGCTGCATCTGTGGCATTGCAGTCGCGGGATATGGGGTCTACCCATTTCGCCTGTAGGAATACAAGAGAAACGGGGACGGAAGATCCCCTAATTGTCAACATTTTGTCAACTGAATACATGGCACTTTCAGATTTGCTGAATGTTCTACCATGGACTTTTGAGACCACTATGTTCAGGTCATGGGTTCCAGTTAGTTCTTGCTTCCTGTGGACCCATGGAAAACACCAAGTTGATGCCAGTGAAGTCACCATAACATAGACCAGTTTCCCTGAGAGGGATAAAGTCTTGCTTTTTTGCTTTTGTCTTCATTTTATAAAAGAACCTCCCCCTCTCCGCCCCCTTGCAGTAAACTCTCTGCAGGAAACCAGTCCTGTCTGGTCTCGCGCTCGTCAGCCCAGGGCGCTCTGCTTGGCTCTTCCTGGTGTGTAACAACACAGGAGAATTTGTCAGGTGTGGGCCCTGGGCTGTTTAGATGATGGGGCTTCTGGGGACTCTTTTAGCCCTGAGGCCCTGGGCAAGTGTCAGTGGGCACGGTTATTGCAGGTACTGGAACAAGGAGGGAAGCAGGGCGGAAACTGGTAGAACCGTGCGGCTCAGGGAAACCAGCCACAAGCAGCTGCTCCCCAGGAGAGCGCCTGCCAGACCCCACAGCACGCAGTGGGGCTGCCCCAGGGTTCCTTGGTGTCCTGGTCATCTCCATGTCCTCATGTGGGCCTGCTTGGGAGCAGCAGGAGTAGAGCTTCCCTGTGCCTGGGCCGTCCCACTCTGGAGCCAGGGTGGAGCGGGCACAGGAGCCAGCTCTGAGTGGGCTGTTGAGGGCCTGGGTGGACTTGTCCCTGCTTAGCGCTCATGCAAAACTTGGCATGTGGCCTTGGGGGATCAAACCTTCCCCCTGAGCTTCTTCACAGGCCTGGAGACTGAGGCCAGAATTGGGTCACAGGAATCCTTCATCCTGGAGGCTAGAAAGCAAGGCTCCCGCCAGCCAGAGGGAACCTGCCCTGGGCCTTTGCTTCTGGAGCGCAAGTGGGGGCTGTTCTCAGCTAAAAAGTAAGTCTGGCTTCCTCCAGGGTGCTCATGGCCTGTAATTTGAACCCTATCGAGAGGCCACGTGACAGCCCACTGCAGGACACACTTCTAGAGCTTCACTGGAGATGCCTGTTTCAAAAAGTGGGTTTCTTATTTCCCATGGTCCAGGAAGTGATCACCAAAGGACTGGGAACCTGGTAGGGCCAAAAAAATTTTATTTCATCTGTGTGCATCTAAATCTGGAGGCAATTTTATGTATCTGCATTAAGAATATGTTTAGAACATAATTCTTTTGTTGTTTTTGTTGAAGAAGCACCTTATATAGTATAATATATATTTTTTTGAAATTGCAATGCTTGTTTATCAGACAATTGAATGTAGTAATTCTGTTCTGGATTTAATTTGACTGGGTTAACATGCAAAACCAACAAAACACATGTAGATTTTTGTATAGCTACCATGTATGCAGTCATTGATGCCTAAGACCTGGTGATTGTTCATTTAAATGAAGATCACATTTCATATCAACTTTTATATCCACAGTAGATAAAATAGCACTAATACAGATGCCTATTGTTGGATATTGAATGATAGACAATCTTATGTAGCAGAGATTATGCCTAAAAAGGAAAATTATTCAGGGCAGCTAATTTTGCTTTACCAAAATATCAGTAGTAATATTTTTGGACAGTAGCTAATGGGTCAGTGGGTTCTTTTTAATGTTTGTACTTAAATTTTCTTTTTAAAAAATAAAAACAAACAAAAAAATTCTAGGACTATAGATGATATAATACCAGCTAAATCCAAACAATAATACAGTGGAGGGTTTTACATTATTCATCTAATGCGTTTGTATTCGTGTTATGATGCTACTACATTTGTTATGGGCGAGAACACCAGATGGTTGGAATGCTAGCCCAGGAGTCTCAAATAATTTTATAAATCTCTTTTTATTCTTATGTGAAGTGCCACTAGTGGACAGCTGACACTTTGCAGCTGACATTGCTGTTGGGTATGGGGAACCTGTTGGAGTTTTCCCTGCTCTGAGGCAACTTAAAATTTGACAGACTTGATCAACCTGGGGGGTTGGGGTTGGGTGGGATCGTGGGTTCAGGAATTTGGAGAATGGAAAATATGTTAGCAAGAGTCTTGAAACTATTTGTGGTAGATCAATACTAGCACCTGGTGTGTACGCCAGAGCTCAGTATTCTGCTTCTGCCCGACCTGACAACCATTTCCAAAATGGCAGGTCTAGGGAAGAAAAAGTGCCTCGCTCCAGGCTTGCTCTAGTGATTCTGTAATGCTGTCGTGTGACAATCAGAGACAATCAGAGAGGCTAGCTCATCCAAAGAGAAGACCCTATGTTGGGTACAAAATCCAGCCCCTAAGGAAGGGTAGTCTTTGATTAGATTGCTCTAGTAGCTTTGCAAGTAAGTTTCACCATGCCATATCCCGTGCCTTTTGGAATGGGACCAATAAGGGACTTACTGACCATTTACTTTCAATCACATGAAGGTGTTTTCACGTTAAAATCTTATACACTGAACTGGCCATTGATTTGGGCCATTGCTTCAGTGTACCCTACACAATGCCAATTCCAAATTCCTTCTTATTCATACTTCCTGACTCTGAGACGGACCATGAATACCGGAAATGATCAGGAGGACCATAGTGATATCTCATAGTCACAGGCTAATCTGCTTTAAGAAGCCAGTTATTTGAAAGGCATATAGAGTCATACCGTAGCTTACAAGGCAACCATAATTCTCTTCGGCGCCAGTCTTGGGAGGATGACTCAGATTGCACTGCGCACTTCCTGGGTGAACTCCCTGCAAAACGTACTCACTCTCTGCTGGAGTAAATGAATTTAACTGTGGTCCCAAATATCCATCTTTTCATTTGTGTGATTCCTGTTTCTAATTGCATTTCCTCTCCATTTGGATTAAAGTGAGTGTGGCCTCTTTCTGAGTCATCTAAAATTGTTTTTTAAGTAATTGCTGCCTCTATTATGGCATTTCAATTTTGCACTGTCTTTCAGAGATTCAAGAAAAATTTTCATTCTTTTTTTTTGCATCCAAATGTGCCTGAACTTTTAAAATGTGTAAATGCTGCCATGTTCCAAACCCATCGTCAGTGTGTTTATACAGAGCTGTGCACCCCGAAAGGAAAATCCAGTCCCATGAGCAGGTGCCTAAGACTCGGACCCCTTTGCATTCACAGAGAGGTCATTGGTCATAGAGACTTGAATTAATATGTGACATTATGCCAGTTTATGTTCTCTCACAGCTTATAGACCATGCTTTTTGTGCACTACATATTCCTCAGTGTAGGGCTCTTGTTTTATGGGGAGAAGGCTCAACCGCCAAATTGTGTTTGATGGTTAATAACACATCCTTTTGCTGATGCATACTCTTCCTGATGTGATTCTCTTTTGTCGCAGCTTTGCTTTGTTTAATGAAACACACTTGTAAACCTCTTTTTGCACCTTTAAAAAGTAAAGAATCTACAGGGATGCTCAAGCACCTGTAAACAATTTTCTCAGTCTCTTTGATGTTCAAATAAAGAATTAAATGAAAGACAAGAGTTTGGTGTGTATGTGTAAGTTCTGCTTCTTACCGATGGTTCTCCGTGGACCACTTGAGTTCAGGGTATGGGATTCCGCAGGACGCAATGAATCCTGCCCATTGGCCTGATGACAGGCTCCCCTTCCCACCCCCCAGGCATAGAAGGAAGTGTGTGGATGTGAAGTCAGGCCGACCTGGCCTCAACTCTTGCTTACGATTATCGGTAACGTATTTTTCAGCGTCTCTGCTTCCTCAACACAATGGTGACAGTAACTTAATTCACAGGCAGTTGTAGAAGATTCCATGAGGTACTCATTAAAATAGCCATTGTCTGTAATGGCTCAACCAAGCCCTTCCCCATGAGGGAGAAGAAGGAAACTTGAGACTAATTATTTATGAATGAACGACGAGACAATGGAAGAGTAAATGAGAGAAGACGTACCGTAATTTGCTCACAATCCTCTCCCCTCTCATCAAGGTAGAGCAGAAATGATGGTACTTTTCTCTCCCCACTTCATTTCGGGTCTCCTTACCCTTTTCAGAGATAGCCGGAATGTTTCCTTTTATTCATTACTCTGTGATTTGACTGATGAATGGTTGGGGGGAGCATGCGACTTGTGGTGGGGAAGTAACCTTACATGCACCCCAGCTCTGCAGTCAGTGGCCCTGCTGGAGTCCTCTCTCTTCCATGCATTGTGTGACCATTATTATGGGCAAATTGATTCCCCATGTTTGTTTCTTCTCCTGCAGAGAGATAATAGTGCCACCTGCTTCAGAGGGATGCCGTGAGGACTACATGGGCTCGTTCATGGGGGTAGCATTAAAGCTCACTGGCTGGTGCTGTTTCTCCAAAAGAAGTCTTCTCCCATCCCACGTCTGCCCTTCCTCCCTCCTTCCTTTTCTTCTTTCCTTCCTTCCTTTGACATGGTTTCCTTTATTTTTTTAAAAGATTTATTTATTTATGCATACAGAACTGGGGTGTAAGCCAAAGGCGCAGGGGGTGAGAGGACTCACCAGAGACAGAGTAGGGAGCAGAACAGGTGGATCCACTGACATACACTGCTGAGGGGAGCAGCGGGGAGTCAGGAAAGGTCTGCTGCACCATGTGGGTTGCTCCCTGGCCGGGGATCAAACTCATGCTGCAGTGGCTGGGAGTAGCTTGATAGCACTGTCTTTAACCCCTGCGCCACCAGGAGGTCAGACATGGTTTCCTTTAGATATCTTAACACATTTATAATAGCTGCTTGAAATCTTTCTCTTTTTTTTTAAAGATTTATTTTTTTTTATTTATACAAGAGCTGGGGTACAGGCCAGATGCGCGGAAGGGTGAGAGGATTCACCAGAGACAGAGCAGGGAGCAGAACAGGCAGACTGATGAAATACACTGCTGAGGGGAGCAGCGGGTGAGACAGGAGAGGTCTTTTGCGCCATGTGGGATTCTCGCCGGCCGGCTGGGATTGAACCTGTGTTGCAGAAGCTGCGGACATCATCACAGCGCGGTGCTCAACCGCCTGCTCCACCAGGGAGGCTCTTGAAATCTTTCTTGGTTAATTCCAACATCCATGTAGACAAATACAGTTTCTTTTGGCCCATTTTATTTCTGAGTATAGGTCACGTCCTATTTCTTCATACATCTAGTAATTTTTCATTGAAAACTGGATATTCTAGACACTCTACTATAGCAACTTGACTCTGATCCCCCTAAGGTGGTTGCTGTTGGTGTTGAGTCTTGTTGTTGTTTGACTTCTGATACTTCTACTACGTTTTAAAAATGTTATTCTTGTTTTGGTTTTAAAGCCTGACTTCCTAGGAGTTGTTCTGTCTGTGTAGCTTTGTGGGTGTACAGTGAGGACAGATATTATCCAATCCAAGGAGTCGCTAAGGCTTCTGACCTTGGCTATGGATCTGTTTGCTGATAGGGGAGCACATTCAATTCAAATTTGATTTTGAAAACAGCATGGGCTGTTTCCAAGCCTGACCAGCTTTTGCCCACAGCATCTTAAAGACAGTAGTGGGTTTTTTTGTTTGTTTTTTTTTTAAGATTTATTTATTCATTCATTTATTTATTTATTTATACAAGCACTGGGTACAGCAGAAGCGCGGGAGGGTGAGAGAATTCACCAGAGCCAGAGCGGGGAGCAGAGCAGGCAGAAGGACCGAAGCACACTGCTGAGGGGAGCAGCGGGCGGCAGGAGAGGTCTGCGCGCCATGTGGGACCCTCCTCCGGTGTCCGGGGAGCAACTGGGGATCGAACTGGCGCTGCAGAGGCAGCGGGCGGCTTCGCAACCCAGCGCTCAACCGCTGTGCCACCAGGGAGGCCCTGCCCACAGCATCTTACAGGAGAGTAGGGCTAGCCTGGCCGTCCCTGGTCTCCGTGGCACATGTACACAGCCTCAGCCAGAATGCACTGCCCACAGCCTCAGGCCAGCAGGCTCTATCTATCCACCCACCAAATCAAGTGAGCCAGCTAAGTTCATGGCCACAGCAGCAGCGCCATCAGTGCTTAGGACAGTCCGGCTTGGGTGCTGACCAAACAGTGTGCGTGTTGCGGGGCGAGGGGGCAGTGGATGTCAGAGTAGCCCCAGGCAAGGATATCATCTATTCACAATGTTCTTGCCTGAAGTTCAATCATTTTCAAGCATAAACATGTTTCCAATTGTTATATGCCTTTGGCCAATTTGCAGAGTGCAGAAATCATGTTACTTTTGTTACTTTTTTTTTTTTAAGATTTATTTATACAAGAAAGAGGCTACAGGCCAGATACGCAGGAGGGTGAGAGGATTCACCAGAGACAGAGCGGGGAACAGAACAGGCAGAGTGAGGAAATACATTGCTGAGGGGAGCAGCGGGTGAGGCAGGAGAGGTTTGTGCGCCATGTGGGACCCTCGCCGGCCGACCAGGATCGAACCCGCGCTGCAGAGGCTGTGGGCAGCTTCACAGCGCTGCGCTCAACCGCCTACGCCACCGGGGAGGCCCTACTTTTGTTTTGTTTTGTTTTTAGTAGCTTTTTGGTGTGAGGATTTACTAGTCTCCTAGCTTAGCCATAACTGAATGCCTCCCTCACCCTTATTATTCTTCTCAGATCCAGAAACACAGTGGTCATTAAATTGGTATTACGTTGATGTGTTAATTCCATGTTATGTGCCATGTGTTAGTTCTAGTGCTCAGGGGAGAAGGTTCAACCATCTGTGGAACTTTTAAAACCTACCTACTGGAGCGCATGGAAGTTGGAATCCCTGGCTGGAACTTGGAGTGATTCACACACTACTTCAAGATTACATTCTCCAATGTTATATATTCTCAAGATTTTGGGCCACTTAATTCAGCATTGCCATATCTAGATTTACTTCTCCAAAAAGAATCTAGCGGCCTCCCTGGTGGCACAGGGGTTAAAGTCACAGCTATTGTCAGCCACTGTCACCTGAGTTTGATTAGCCAGGGAGCTACCCACAGGGCACAGCAGACCTCTCCTGTACCCCCGCTGCTCCCCTCAGCAGTGTATTTCAGTCAGTCTGCCTGTTCTGTTCCCCGCTCTGTCTCTGGTGAATCCTCTCACCCCCCCCATCTCTGGCCTGCACCCCAGTTCTTATATGCATAAATAAGTATTTTTTAAAAAAATATTCTGTTACTTGGTTTTGGGGTTCTTGGATTTTGGGCTTCCTTGGCTCTTGCCTATGTTGTGAGAGGACTCACAGCATGTCTTTAGTAGAAGCAAAAGCAAAGTTTAGAGACAGAGCAAAAGGACACATGTGTCCCAGGGCAGGAAGAGTCCTGGGTAAGAACAACCGCAAGGGAATTGTGGGCGCTCCAGTCTTAAATGGGGTACAGGAATGGTTCACTTGATCCCTTCCTGAGGTGTTTACACAGGTGATTCTGGGGTGCAGTTTATCTATTGGCCCGGATAGCAGTTTTAGGGCAGGAGAGAGCATTTAGGGGGGCTTTCAGGGTCTTGCTTGTCCTGAAATTGGGGAGTTGCCTTAGAGTCCAGAAACAAGCTAATCTTGAGGAATTGCTTCCCTCTGGTGCTTCCAGTCTGCAGGTTGGAATGAGGGGCTGCCTTTCTCCCCTCCGGGGGTTTCTCGGTTTTCCCTGGGCTTACCAGCTTTGGCAAGTATTTCCTGGGGGCTGGTATAGTTGGCTGTTTAGCTTTCTGAAGGCATTGTCCTCCTTGCCCTAAATGTCTAACACTTTTGCTGTAGCTCTGGCTCTTGGCAGGCATAGTTGGTGTCTGGGGTCGTACCAGGCACCTTTGTGCCAGGAGCAGAGGGAGAGCTGAAGGGTGAGTTTTCCCTGTACTTGGCACGAAGAGGCGCTTTATTTTGAGCTAATGACCTGAGGCCTTGAAGCCTGAGGTAGGGCAGCCTCGCTAGCAGCAAGGCCTGTTTCCCAGGCGACAGTTCCTGAGCCAGGCGTGTTGTCCCCTGGCCACAGATGGCTCCTGTTTCGTGGCCAAGTGACAGCAGCAGGTGTCGGGCATTCAAACTCTGCATGGGACAGACAGAAGAGCAGTTTTTATCCTAAGTATTTGAAAGTGAAAAAGAAAATTGGAGCAAGGAACCTTTTGGACAAGCATTTTCAAAAGTGATTTTGAAACTGGAGAGGCAAACCTCAGGGGTCAGGCCAGCCAGAAGCACAGGGAGGGGCTCCAAAGTGGATGTCTCTGAACTTTACCCAGCTGGTCACCCAGAAGACCAAGGTGAGACAGCACTTGGGGTGCCTACTAACTGTACCCCAAGGCCCTTCTACCTCCCCCCATGCCCCATCCACATGTACAGTCCTGCAACTGTCCTTGGCTGCCTTGGATTGAGGCCTCAACAACCATGGCAATGACCAGTGAAAGGTTGTGAGCTGGTGAACGCTTTTGTGGATGGATTGAATTTTTGAGTTCACCCCAGGCTGAGGGAGTTTACGCTGCAGTGACGACTCCTGAGCACTTCCGCACTTAGAACCAGTAAGAACATGTTTCTACATTTCAGGCCCCAGACTGCTGGGGGAGGGAGGGAGATTCAAGGGAAGGCAGCACAGGAGCTCGCCTCCACCTCGCGGGGTAAGAGGGGGGCTCTTTTGCGAGTTGTCCTAGTCCCTCAGAGCAACCAGGTGCTGCAGAGCAATTGATTTCTGCCTCTCAACATGGCGAGGGAAACATTTCCTTCAAAATGGAGGGAAGGGCTGCAAGCTCGAGTTGCTTCACGCTTCTCTAAGAACGGATGACCACCTAGCCCCACAGTCCATTCATTTATCTTTGAATTTCTTGTTAAATGCTTTAAAACAACCTGTAACAATCTCTGTAATCCAATCCATTTTCTAATGCTGAAACACTGCACAAGGAAGCACTAGTGCATTTATGAGGCAGGAGGTTTGCATAGAGAAACTTCTTTTAATTACTTGATAACATTGGCACCAACTGCTTCTAGCCTAGAATCGTAGGGACCTGGGTCCAGGAGACAGAATAACTTGCACGCAGGAAGACCAGGACTCAAGGCAGCTCCGTGCTTCTTCCTACAGAGAAAGCGTCTAGCTTCTGCCTAGGGTTAGACCTTACATCTAGACTTAGACCTAAACTTAAAGCAATGTGGTTTGTTTCCCATGTATTCTCTGAGATTCTTCGTGTCAGAAAGATCAAATACATGTCCTTTCAAATTTCCTCTGTCCTATTTCCAGTCACCTCCTATTCTCCAGCCCCACCCTCTGTGATATTGGGGACTGAAACCCTTAGCAGCTGCCAGTACTGTGCAAGC